CTACAGTGCAGAACACTTTGAAACTCTTTTATTTGTATCCCTTTTAAGTTTTACGACCTCTTTCAAAGACTGCTCCTTTAGCTCCTGATGTCTTCCTTATTTGTAGATGGAAACTGAAATTAATTTGTGTTTTCTTATAAATTATGTGCTGCTGTTAAGAGCTCAGCCAAATACAGGGGAACAGCACTGCTTCAGAACTGCCCCATGGAAGTCAGGCGAGGCAGGATATATAGAGTGTGTATCATTTTATCCACCAAGTTTTTCTTTCTTTCTTTCTTTCTTTCTTTTCTCTCTCTCTCTCCCCCCCCCCCCCCCCTTTTAAATCCAACCCCAAGGACATGTTTATAGATTTTAGAGAGAGGGACTGGGGACTGAACTCACAAGTCAAGCATGTGTCCTGACCAGAAATTGAACCTACAATCCTCCAGTTTGTGGGACAATGTCCAACCAAGCCACACTGGTCAGGGCTCCACAAGTTTTTTTTATTTTTTTATTTTTTTAAAGTTTTGTTTTCACAAAGGACAATTATTTTAACTCCTTTGGCTAAAAGATTTCTCTATGAATTGGCATTAAGAGATGGCGTAAAGGTGCTTTAAAATCTTTACACCAATTAATAATTACCTGCAATAAGAAAAAAATCATTTCATTGCTACCCAGTTACCCTGTTGCCACTAAATACAAGAAATGTCATTAAATATACTCCTAAAGTTATACTTCTAGTGAATTCCTCTGCATATCACTGATATTCCTAACATACAAAAACCTCCTATCATCATTCCGTTTTTTAGTGTGAATTCAATGGTATTTTACAGAAAACTTTAGGTTTTATTCAATATCCAATAAGAAGATGATATGCATGAAAAAAGTCTGTGTAAAATACTTACTTTGACTTTCCTAAGTTTTTGGGGGATGAAAAGGTCAAGAGAGGAAGGAGAAATCACTCCCCCCGATTCTGGAGGGAGCCCCTGCGTCTCCGCTTGCCCCCTCCATCCTGTCACCCCTCTGTCTGCAAATGAGGTAATGGTGTCGTCATTTCTCTGGTGGTTCCGTTTCTGGCTTACAGTACTTGTCTGTTTCTTCATCCTTGCTGTTCTGACCTCGGTGGCCCACAGCATAGCCGCCTCCCCTCCCTCCAGCTCCGCTCTCTTCCTGGAACTTCTTTGGACTTGCGACTCCTGAAATCTAAGCCTCCCTAGAGTCGCTCCTGAGCGCCAAACACTTCCACCTGGGAAGTTAGAACACTCAAACTCAAGTCATTCCTGCCCATCCCCTCACCTTTAAACTGGAGCCTGCTGCAGCGGTCCACTTCCAGCTGGTCATCAGGTCACCTAAATTTCTCCCTCACATCATCTTGCTCTAATCACTGCGATATCCAGCCTTCATTATTTCTCGCCTGGAGTTCTGCTTGAGCCAGACGTGTAAGCGTCCCAGCCTCCAGTCTGCTCCCCTAGCCTTCCCACGTGAGCTTCCCCACTGCCGTCGCTGTCTTGTCCATTATGCTCTTGTCTAAAGTCATTGGTTGGAATTCCAGCTTATCAGGGCAACTAAATGGCTCACGTGTGAGAAACCTGCTTGCTGTTTCTGCCTCATCACGCTCCACAAGCAACTGCCCAGGCTACAGGACCAGAAGACATGCCTCACATGCTCTGGCACCTCCTGCCTTGGCATATGCATGTTCCCTCTGGCAGACACTGCCCTTTCTTTTATTCGCGTGGTTGGTCCCTATTTACTTCTCAAAATGGCAGCTCAAATGTCACTTTCTCCAGGAAGCCTTCCCTAATCCACCATATCCCCTCCTCTGTTGCTTCTCAAACTACCAGTGACCAGTCTGAGCCAGGCTTCCAGACACTCTGGATTTTTCATCTTTCTCCTAAAGCTCACTTCCCTTCACTCTGCTGCCTACTGGCTCTGCCTGCCTCCTCAGCCCGGCTGTAGGGACTGCACTGAGTTCACTTCCTTATCCCCACCTAGCGTGCTGCCTCAGTGCTCAATGCCTGTCTGTTGAATGAAGAAACAGATTCACTGGGGGGAGGGGGGCGTTGACCCACCTCACTCGGCTCCTGCAGGCATTTTCTTCCTCTGGGGCCTATGTCACCACCCTTCCCCAGGTACCACCATATTTCCATCATGTCTTCAAGATGGAAAAATCACTGGCCTCTTTTAAGCAGTGTGTCCACTGTCCTCTGCTAATGAATTGTTCATTCTGAGTAGAAACCAAAAACCGCTAACGGGCCTTTCAGGGCCTGCCAGATGGCCAAGCTGTGCTCTCAGTATCGTTCTGACAACATCTTCTGCAATCCAGGCTTTACTATCTCTGCGGCAGCCACACGGGCCTTCTTGCTGGTTCTTTAAAATACCAGGTCAAGTCCTATCTCAGGGTCTTTGCAATTGTCTGGGATGTTAGAACACTCTTCCTCCAAAGAACTGCGCTTCCCGGCTTTGCCCTAATGTCACCTTCCTGGTGAGGCCTTCTTTAACTGCCTCTTGCATCTCACACTTCCGATACTCCTGCTTCCTTACTTTTTCTCCAAAAGTTGATCATCTGCTACGTTATGTAATTTAACGGTTTGTCTTCCTCAATGAATAGAAGCTTCCTATGAGTAGGGATTTCTGTCCGCTGTATTCCCAGCTGAATTCTCGGCATCTAGTTCCTAGTACACGACAAGTGCTCAAAGAGTATTTCAAGCTTTAAAAAAACAGGGCCAACAACAATTAAAAAAAGGCAACCTAATTTAAAAATGGGCGAAGAACTTGAACATTTCCTTAAAGACATACAGCTGATCAATAAGCATATGATGATGCTCAACATCCCTATCACTAAGAAATACAAAACCACAATGAGATACCACCTTACACCCACTAGGGTGGCTACTATTTTAAAAAAAAAAAAGGTAAGTAATGAGTGTTGGTGAGGAAATAGAGAAACTGGAACCCTTGTGTATTGCTGGTGAGAACGTAAAATGGCACAGCTGATGCAGAAAACAGTGCGACGGTTCCTCAAAAAATTAAACAAAACTACTGTCTCATCCAGCAATTCCACTCTGGGAATTGCAGTATTATTCACAGTAGCCAAAAGATGGAATCAAGTGTTCATCGAGGGATGAATGGATAAACAAAAAGGTATGCGTACGTACAAAGTAGTAGTATTCAGTCCTAAAAAGGAATGAAATCCTGACACATTCTACATACCAATGAATCTTAAAGACTTTATGACAAAGGAAATAACCAGACATAAAAACACAAACATTGTATAATTCTATTTACATGAGGTACCCAGAGGAGGCAAATTCAGAGACAGAAAGTAGAATGGTAGTTGCCAGAAGCAACCTAATGGGGGAGGGAGGAAAAGGAGAGAGATGCTGGAGATGGTTACCCATTAACAGGAATGCTTCTGATGCCACTCCGAACTGTATACCTAAAAGTGGTTAAAATAGTAAATCTTGGGAAATATAGTACATAACATTAAAAAAGGCAGCACAGTGTGCTTCAGAACAGGAACTTAGAAAGGTACTCCTGGCTCCATTTATAGGAGGAACTTCGCAAGAAGGAAAAATGCTGTCACCAACTGGCCTTGGACCAAATATCAACACTGACTTATTTTTATGAAAATTACTGTATATCCTAGTGACAGGGGGGAAACATAAGGGAAAGACACATTAAGTCACAGGTACACATATGCAATTATCATTAATGTTGTACATTTTCTAAGCCCTTTTCCATGACAACTCAATCCTCAAAATCTGTCAAGTAGGCATGAAAGAAATTGTGTGCTCTCCAAATCAGCAAATAAACAAACATACAAAATTCAGTGGGCATGACCCATAGAGAATGACACAAGGGGAACTAATTTCAGGATAATCATCACTAATATTTATCAAGGATTGAGTAATGAAGACACTGGCTCAACATTTTCTATGGACTTTTGAATTTTCTACTTCTGACCATCCTATTCTAACCGTATTTTGTAATTACCACCATCATTATTCATTTTTATAGGCGAGGATACTGAAGTGCAAAGAATAAATAACTATCCCCAAATTAAATAACTAAGTCAGTGATGGACTGTGCCAAAATGTCTACTCCAGAGCCTGTACTCTTCACCGCTGTCATTGTCCACTGCACAGCTAGACTGTGGGACAAGTTTAATCAATGCTTCGTTCAGCCTGGAAACCACCACTGAAGTAATACTATCGAAATAAATTGGTGCTTATTTCCTAACTGTCAATGCAGTGAGACACTATTTCTTAGTCTACAAAGAGAATCCTAGGTCCTTTGCAAGCCTGTAAAAATTTATATACAAAAATATCCTCAAGATTGTCAGAATAAACAGCCACATTTGGGTCATCCATTCGCTGTCTCTTGCGCAGGACCACATAAGCTGCCGTGGGCAGAGTGCCAGTCAATCCCTATTCTTTCCGGAGGGTTTCTTCTGAGTTTTCTGAAGATGTCTGCTTTATCCCCCAGAAACTGGAGAGAGGAGAAATGCTGTATGGTTTGCCTGTAGGGTCGCCCCATGGGATGCAGGGCTTTGGGCCAAGGGAAACAAGTGTTGATTTGCAACAGCGTCAGGCACAGGCTCCAACAGGCAGGAAACAGGAAGAGAGGGGCGAAGTCATAGCAGGGCTGTGAGCCAATGGCGACAGTTATTTCCACTCCTTGTGAGAAGCTGCCAAACTAGCTCCTTCACAAAACTCGTGTGGTGGCTACCTTAAATCCATCCAAAGTTCTATAAACTAATTCTTGCAGTAAACTCTATATATGATTTGGGTGTTTTATTTACTTTCAAGGTTAAAAATACATAGGTATTTAAAAAAAATACGGTTCCTCATACATACGTCACCTTCAGCGTTGACTGACAGCCTGAGCACAGACCCGCCACTCCACTAGCTCTGGGGACACTGCTCCTCTCTCTCCCAAGACAGACTTGGCTTCAGCTCGAACATCTCAGAGTGGGGCCAGAGTGTGCATGCTCCTCTCACCCAAGAACAGGAGGGCCTTACCGAGTTCTCCTTCAGTTGCAGCCCCTCCCCGTTGGGAAGGGAGGACCGTCTCTTGGTTGAGTTCCTGTTGGGGGTGGAGGTAATGGCCCCTGCTTTCTTCTTCACAGTGAGCACCTCGCAGCTGGCTTGGTCCTCGTTGTGTGTGCTCTTCCCAGCATTGATAACCCTGGAGAAGAAGCCAGAAAAGGTGTGGTCAGACAGAGTGATTCCCGAAAGGCTGAGAGCTTCGTCGCCGGAGTCAGCCAAGCTTGCCTCCACACCTGGTGCCAAACTAGTGCCCCACTTAATGCAAAGGACCTTTTGTGTTCCTGAGTAAATGGATTTTTAAAAAAAGAAGTTATATGAGCACACATGAAAACATTTACTAGAGCACTGTTCTGAGTTCAGCTGACCTTCACAGGTGTCTGAGAGATGTGAACAACTCCATTGATCCATTATAGTCAAAACAGACAAGATAATCACTCTTTTGGCAGTAACAAGGAAGATAGAGCTGCCGGCTCCGGGGATTCTGGTGCATTTCTCCAAGTGAGAAAGAGCAAAACCACCATCAATCTTATCAAAGAGCAAGGCAGTAATTTATAGCACGTTGTATTGTAACATACAGGGGAACAGAGACCCACAGTTCATTACTGCCTGCTCCCTTTCCCTTTACACACAGAGAAGTGAATGGATCAGAGGTTCACTCTTTTTGATTACCGTTAATCCTTTATCTTTTCTCCTGCAGAGCACTCATCACAGTGTACCGTTACGTCAGACTGTGTAGGACACTGATTTGTACAACTGGCCACATTATGACAGTATGGTATGTTGACACTGCTTTGGCTGAATTACTAAATGTTTTAAGCACAGGAAAGCTTCCAAAAAACAAGCTACATTATTCATATACCTTTTTGTGTATTAGGTGACTGCAGATGGAGTTTGGGTTTCAGCACCATTTTCTTATTAAGTAATTAAGCAGCAGCTAGAACAGATTTCCCAAAAGAGCTCTCCTTGATGTTTCTTTCAAAAACATCAACAGTGTCATCGTCAGTGACAGAGTGAGTGTGGAGGATATAGAACTCAGTGGCATGGAGAGAGAAGATGATTTTTTGTTTTTCAAAGATAAGATAAATGAAAATCCCCTCTGTAAGTGCGGTGTGCTACACCGCTGTATTACTCTGGTTGTACTCCCTCCTAACAAGTATGACTGTCTTCAAATGACTTCTTTTTTACTTTTAAATTCTGAAATAATTATAGATGCAGAAAAATTGCAAAAATAGTACTATACAGATGTACCCTTCACCCAACTTCCTCCAATGGTAACATTTTATCTAACTACAGTACAATATCGAAACAAGCAATTGCCACTGATACAATACTGTCAAACAGACTGCAGATCTCATTCAAATTTCACATCTTATATAAAATAGTCTTTAGTTTTGGAAACTGTATAGATATCCATAAGCCAACACATATACACCACAGCGAAACAGGAAACAGCAAATTGAGATTTGAGCACCGCGAGACCTAAGGGAGTGGGGGTTCGAGCACTCTTCTGCCAAACCCTGGGATTCTATGGAGGTGTTTCATACATTTTAACATTAAATTTCTTTTTAAAAGTATAAGTATTTTGGAAAAACGGCAATAATTTAAAAGTTCATTCCCATCTGTTACATGTGAACACTTATGTGCCAGTTTACATATTTTGGGCAGCCTTGGCATACACAGTAAGTCTTCTATCTTTCCTCTTTAATTGACCAGTATCACTTGATTGAAAGAACTGGGCCCAGAGGAAGAATGAATGGGTGGGTCCGACCCACTGGTCTCCAGAGAAGCCCATGGGGTTTGTCCAGGGGTTTGTAGCTGGAGCTCTTAAGACACAACATGCATTTGACTGGAGTTTCCCTTTTATGTCCATCCTTAGAGAACAAAACCAGGCAGAAGGAGGTTCAAAAATACCACCTGCCTCTTCTTAGTCACTGGAAGTGACGTCCAAAGCAACATGTTTGGCGTGGACTATTTACTTGATGGGGATGTCACACCCCCATGGTTTCCCACATGAGCGCCTTCCCTAGGGACAGCTGAAGTGGAGGTTCATCTGGGAAAACCAGTTCGTGACGACTGCCCCCTCCATACTATCCTCTGTATAAGGGTCTAGCTACTATTTCTGGAACTTGACATTACCCTGACCGTTGCCTCCTAAACTCATGCTGCAGTCAGGTCATTTTTTTTTCCTAGTAAAACAAAACAAGAAAAGCATCACTGATCTCCAATAGCTGCGTGTCAGGCTGACTCATCTGCCACTGCCGTTTTCTAAGAGTCAACAAAGCTGCTATAATTACATCAATCACGAGGCACTGTCCTCTGAAAGTGCTTTATCTTTTACCTCTCTGTGGATATTAAACTCCAGAGTGGACCGAACTTCAGCAAAAGACCCTAGAAACTTTATTTTATGCACGAGAAACCCAGGGCCCTGGAAGGCTGTGACTTGCACAAGGTCACACAGCTGAACACAGCAGAGCTGGGAACACACTTCCGAGCTCCCAGCGCCTTCTGCTCCAGCTCTCCGTGCTGTTATTTTCCTGTTGTGCGTCTGTTCTCATCAGCCCGTGGTGCAGAAGCAGAGGGCTGTACTGCAATGACTCATCGAAGCTGGGGCACTGTGAAAGAACCACCACGGGTGGCCTTGCTTGGCCATTTCATGTTTGAATGCAGCTTGTGAATGACACTAATGAAATATCACAAAGTCAGAAATGGCGACCTAGTGCAAAGACAGTAGCCCTTGTCCCGTAAACCTGTTTGGTTGGATGTCTGATTATTATTCAGATGATAAAGTCACAGTAATTTAAAGCCCCTGCCTTTGAAAAAAAATACAACTCTTACCCCAGATTTTATATTATTTCAAATTCTTTACTCCATACAGCTTTAGGAGGAAGTCCTGTTTCTTCTCAGTTTACTATGCTTTAAAAAGCTTGACCTCTAGCAACTTACATATTTGATATCGTTCCAAGGCAAATGCTTTGTTTTCTAAATGTAGATTAAACCTTTAATTACATGTAAGTTGAGGAAAACTTTGCCTCCCAAGCTAAGGAGCACCATGCTGTTAAAGATTTGATAATTTCTTTAAATGTAAGTAGCTATATCGGTCGCTAGGCTCTCTTCCTGTTCTGCACTCCAGCGTAAAGTCAGCACTAGCTTGAGAGGAACAGGAATGACTATGAGATGACATTCTTTATCTGAACAATACCTACCCATGATGCTTAATTTTAAGACTTTTAACCAAAATGCTAGTGGACCATGAATTATCCTATATTGGTGGCCTTATTTTCCAACTTTCTACAAAGCAGGAAAATGGCTTCCCTGACATTAAACTGGAGGTAAGAGAGCGTAGTAGTTAGGAACACAGGCTCTCTCTCCAGAATGTAGCAACCGAGCAGATGCTCAACAACTGTTTGTGCAATGAATGAACAAAATCAGAGACGGATCCGTTCTGCTACTTCCTAGATATGGAGTCATAATTGTGTCTTATACATTTGTTGAGAACTAACTCTGTGCCAGGGACTGCTGTTAGCATTTTACATTTAGTAATGAACTCATTTAATCCTCTTGTCAACTTGACGAGTTAGCCACCATCATTCTCCCCTTCATAAACACAAGTCATGGCTGGCAAGTGGCAGAGTGCTTGGTCAAGTAACTTAACTTCAGGAAACCTCAGTTTCTTAGCAGTACTTCATGGGTTAAATTCCGGGAGTTGCTAAGGGGTGAGTGCATACAGGTGTGAGAGTGAGATGGTGGGATTTCACTCATCTAAAACCAGGAACAGGGAGATTTTCTAGTTAAGATTAAAATTCAGGTGGGAGAAGTATTAGAGGATGAAGGGGAAGGGTAGCTACTGTCTCTTCAATACAGAAAGGTAACATCCAGGTCTTTCAACTCTTCAAAAATCATGACACATGTGCCTTGGGAGAGACACATATGGCAAAGTTAAATTCATTAATGGACTGTGTTAACCTTCCAACCTACATTCAACCAAACCAAAGCACCTAGATATTTTTCCCCTTGTAAAATGAGGTAAACACAGAGTTTTTATGTACTTGGAAATCAAAAATCCTCTGTGTATAACAGATACAGCTTGAAGCTATAACCTGGATACCAGGAAAGAACGTGACCGTGACCTGAGATCACAGCAATAGCAGAACCTATTTAAAAAGAGCGAGCGAGTCATTCTATGCTCCTGTTCCACGCTCGGGGATCCTAGTTTTCCTTCTGTCTGTTTGTGAAATACTCTAGTCCCAAATTCTTTAAAAAATTCACCTCCACCTTAGTCTTAGCACAAAAGTCCTGCCTTTCATTGCAACGATTAAATTATCAGTTACCTGCCTTCTCATCTGCTCAAAACCTTAACTACAAGGACACTCACCTGATAATGGCACACAGAACAGGTCCCTATTACTAAACAGAGACAAGTAAGTATTCTCAAGTAGTGTGTACTTGTCACAAAGGCCACTGGTCCGGAGAACTCACAGTGGAACTGTTTTTCGGAAGGATTTACAGAAGATAGTCAATCCACAGAGGACCGTCACAGGTGACATTTTTTGAAGGATTCCAGTGTGTCATGTACTATGCTAAACATTTGGTCGGCGTCAGGTTTTGGTTACCAACACCTTCCCTCACCCCCTCCCCACCATGAGGTACTTGGCAGAGTGCAGAAGGCACAGACAGGGATGACAGTCACTCAGACCTAGTCCAAGCATGGTCTCCGTTAATTACAAGCTCTAGCTGTGTGTTCCTGCCCGAATTGCTTTCTCCCTCTAAAATGAGTATGGTAAGTCACGTCTAACCATAAAAGAGTTGTAAGAGTTAACTGATTTAGCATGAAATATTTAACAGTGCCTGGAGCATAGTGAGCACTCCATATATATTATTAAATAATAATATATCAAATACAAAGCCGTCTACTTCTTCTGTTAGGCCCAGGAGACCTTCCCCAGCCATGCTGGCTTAAAGAGCATCTCCCCTGCCCCCTTGCCATCAACACCTCTAGGCATACAGCCTTTAGGTGGCACAGCATGACACTTCTTAGAACAGGGACCCTGTGCAAGGCCACTGCTCCTCAGAGTCCTATTCTCAACGTTATTGCAACACTCACCCCATACATGTAAAGGGTGATCTGTACACAGGAAAGCA